AAATTCCAGGACCATGCATACTTACAAATTAATTACAAATACTAAACTTCTAGCATTTACTTATATAGATGTCACTTTCGATAGGAATTGATTTGTATAATCTCTTTTGTTTTACTCTTTGATTTGTTTTAAAATCATTTAGTCAGTATCTTTATAATGGAAAGACATTTGAATGCTGGACGAGTCCTGTATATTTAAGATGATGTCTTGTACAAAATGATTATATCATAAATGACATAATTTGTAAAGACAGAAGTCTTTATCTTCTATGTAACATTAAGATGTCCCCCTGAATAAAAATCTTGATGTGATTTCTTCCAGATCTTATGTCATCTTCGTTTACGATTTATTACACTCGAGCCTTTTATCTGAGTTACTGCAGACAATGTCGAATATTAGCAATATTTCAATATGACATTGACTTGGTACATATATGTATAGATAGATGTCAGATAGAATGTTATTGCTTTTGATAAGTTAATTAATTAAAACTAGAATTACATCTTCCAACGTTAACTTATAGTGGTAATACCTTTTATAACATTTTCGACAAATCTAGAACACTCGTGGTATTGATACTGTAACAACACAACTTTTATTATTTCAGACTAAATTTCCTTTGGCTGTAATGGTATTGCTTCATGTTTGTCTTTTTATGACTTTTCTTTAAGTCTTGTAGAACTTTAAAGTTGAGTGGTCAGTATAGTTCTGATTATATTTCAAATATTGATAAAATAAAAAACAATAGAAGTACCATTTGGATATTTTGATGAAATACTTTTTCAAGTATTCTAGGTGATTTTAGTAGTATGGGCGTTTATTTGAATCAATATAATAATTTGTTCTAGAACAATTTATTATCTGCTATATATAGAAATGTCATGTCAGATCATGTATCACATACAAACAGCGTCCACATATAATTATTTCTTATTTTGATGTCACGTATGATACTTAATACCTTAAACATCTTTATATGGTATTACAGACCTTTTATTCTTTACAATTAAATATTTGCTTCGTTATCTAATTGCAACTGACAATTGTTGAAAACTGTCTTTGCTTGGCTGCTTGATGGTTTACCTGTGTTTGGGGATGCGTTCATCTAATACCGCCCTTCCTTGTTGATCTTGTTTTTCATATTGACATTTGTATAACATTTTATATTTATACCGTAATTCCTATTGTCAGCACTCAAATAATGAAATGAATTTCATTTGGAAATGTTTTAAAAAAAAACTCATTTTTCTTCTTATTGTTAATCTTGACATTTCCTGCAATATTTATTGAGCAGACGTGAAAGTAATATTCTTGCATTTCATTAGATAAATCACGTGATAAGGAAACGCTTTTGTTAGAAGTAACGTGTTACATTGTTAACTTTTGGCGGGAAATCAATCAATAAAAGACACAATAACGTATAAGACAGACGATAATAATTGAAATGTAAAAAGTTATTCGAACTGAAAAAAGGAATATCATTGAACGTTCGTATTTAACCTAAGATTTATTATTCCCCAACAATATCAGACTTAGTTAATAAAGCCATCCAGTTTTTCAATAATACATTCTTAAGTATCAAAATAACTGACTGATAATTCATCAAAGAAACAATTTCAGCCTTCATATTTCCTCAAGGGGAAATGGTATCTTTTCCTGTTTCTTCTTTTTCGCCGATTTTGTGATTTGGACAATAAGACAGATAGCCCATGCTCAGCCATGCATCTTCCAGTGGTTTGTGTAAGATATATATTGCTTAGATACGTTTTTTTACTGAAACGGGACTTTAACGTTGTTGTAATAACTTTCTTTTAATATAATGTATTCACCAAACAGATGTTCCTGTTTCTATAGTATCATTAAAAATAACTAATTTGCTATCGCTTTTCAAACCATTTATCAAGAAGCCTGGTTTGACTGACATCTAAATTCTATTTTTATGGTTTTCTACTTAAACTGATGTTAGGGGACGTAAACGATTGTTTACAATGTCCACAAGCGCCCTAAACAGACTCAATCAAACCGAGCTTGCAACAAATATGCCGTTTTTTGGCATTCCTTATGGCGGTCTTAAGTGATCCTTTTTTTCTCTATTTGATTATTTCAACCTTTGCACTTATTTTACTTCTATAATTTGCCTTTAAAAAACTTCTCACAACATGTTCTTTAAGTTTAAACACAACAGAAGTTTGTAACTGATCTATACAATTGAAGATGGTGCCACGTTATCGCCACGTAATTATCACGCTATCGCCACGTAATTATGACGTTATCACAACGTAATCATCACCATAGCTCATGCAATATTAAAGAACAATACGTAAGGCCCACCTCGCATGACAAGATAATTTCACCACGTGGCAAAGAATGTTTGATCAATAAAGTTAAGCTTAGACAATGTATAATATCAATTCTTAAATCAAATGATGCAAATTCGTTAAAAGTACAATTATCTTTAGTCTGAAGATTTATAAAATTTGTAAATATTCCTTTAAAGGTCAAAATTCAAATGTCAAATGGATAAACGAGATATTGTGATTTCTAATTCTATCATAAAAAAGCAAAGGATGAAAGTACGAAAGTTAATAATCCGGAGGCATTTAATGTAACACAGCAAGGAACATGTCATGGAATATTTGCTCAATAAACCTAAAAATGTAATATTAGTTGACAAGTTGATTGTTTTATGATTATTTTATATGCTAGAGAGAGGATATACATAAATATTTAAATAATGTATTAAATTTTCACATTTTGGTTAATGGATAGACCTTCGATTCACATATTGTTAATGCACGATTTTGCAAGCTTTGACGCACAAGAATCATCGGGCACTAATTAAGATTCGGATGAGTTTGAATTTGTCAATGGTAAAGAGTGTATATGTATAACTTGTGTTATTGTTCTTGAAATAATACAATCGGAAGCACGTGGCTAAATATTTGATTTTGCATTTTCAATTTCAAAATGAATTAAGAAAAGTACATATCTCATCTCTAAAGATATTGGTATTCACGGGGTTTTTAGACAACATGGCTTTACTGTACACAATAGTGCATTAAATCTTACAAAAAATAACTCGTACATATTACCCGTTGGGAAATGAAAGTAAATAAGCCTTACATAGAATGTAATTAAATAAGTGATTGATATTCATGAATGTTAACCAAACGTTGTAATTTTCAATTCCATTTCGTAAACAATCATTATAAGATAAAGTCATGGTTTTATTGTATGCATTTAAATAAGTTTATTTATGATAAGGCTATAAAAAAGAACGAGTTCCTTTGTTATTTGTCACTGAATGAAACAGTCTTTTTATATGTTGTATGAATTTTTAAAATCCTATTCTCCTTAAGCCTGTTGTTCTACTATTTCTTTTTTCATTTAACAAATGACTGAGTCACCTTCTTGGTTCTGCAATATGGAATCTAAATACTTAATAATACCACTTCCCTTACGCTTTGTCATTTTTATGACAAATAAATTCATTTCCAGCGCTTCTTTTTCCATATGATAAGCATCTAATTCTTATTAGCTCTTACGAACTCTTATTCAATTAATACAACAATTGCGAGTCTTTTATAAAGACAATTAAGGTATCTGAATTGTTTACCTACTAGTATGTAAAACTAGCTGTAACGTTATTTTTAGATGCTGTTTAAACTGATATAATTCCCTTGTTATATGAGCATGATAAATCTTCATTTGAGCCGCGTTACGACAAAACCAACATAGTGGGTTTGCGACCAGCATGGATCCAGACAAACCTGCGCATCCGCGCAGTCTGATCAGGATCCATGCTGTTCGCTATCAGTTTCTCTACTTGTAATAGATTTAGTACGCGAACAGCATGGATCCTGACCAGACTGCGCATCCGCGCAGTCTGATCAGGATCCATGTTGGTCGCAAACGGATTATGTTGGTTTTGTCGTGACGCGGCTCATGTGATTTCTAGTACTCTTTGTGCTGTTTTATGCCAAAGAGAAATTTATTGAAATAATAGAGGATAAGTTTTTCATGAAATTAGAAATTTTAACCCGGATTGAAATAAATAAAAATTAGTTTTGATGAAATAAGAAATTCTAACCAAACACATGTAAATATGATATTTGAAAAATGTTGTTTCATAGCATATATAATTAATCAAATAAAAGCCCAGTAACAAGGTTTTAAATGGTACATTGTATATTATTACTCTTTTTGTAAGTCATCCGAAATCATCTACATTTTTATCATCTTAATCATTATTTTTTATTATTATTATTATTATTATCATTATTATTATTATCATATTATTATTATTATTACTATTATTATTATTATTATTGTTTTTTATTTGTCGTTTAAGATTCTTAGCATCTGTTATTGGGCGAAATTAAATGTCTTTCTCGACGTAGTCGTGCACGGTTAAATTCCAATCATGTTATTGCTTTATCAAAATAGAGTGACGTGTCTTATTCCGCTTAAAAGCAATAATGACTATGATCACTTTGCTCGCTTTCGGTAGAAAAAACAAACTGTTTTTCTTTCTCTTGATATTTTTTTCTTTTATCTTTTTTCGTCATTCTTTGCCTTATTGGGACATTTATGTAGCATGTATTGATATTTATACACCGTTAAAGCATTTGATTCAAGTGAAGAGTGTTCAAATGTCTTATATTCAGAGACAGCATGTGTATGGGAAGTTTTCTTGAAGTTACTATCGGAATTTTGGTGATTGGATAATGTTTTTTAAGGTTTCTTATCGGTGTTTTTCGGTGTTTTTATCATAACGATGGAATTAATAAGGATTTTTTTTCATAAGCATGATTATTCTTAACAGAACATATGTCATTACAACTTTAATTTATAGAAGTATAATTATGATCATTTCTATTTTTTTTAAATTATTTTGATATTATTTCAAGACACTTATAAAATACACGATTTAAAGAGGCGATAATTCGGATACCTTTTGTTAAACAATTTAGACAAATCGCTTGCTTACAAATGTACATTGAAACCTTTTCAACATGTATAGAGAGGTATCATCAACTGCACATTTCGGATACATTTTGGGGCTCATTATTTACGTTCATGCTGCAAATGAGATTGGTGAAAAAATTCAGCACATCAAAATAGCTACCATTCTACCTAACAATAATGATTATGACTTCTCAATCGGTCATGTTCAACCTTCAATAGAGTATGCAATAGAGCAGGTGTATATTAGAAACCTTCTTCCCGAATGGATTAAACTGGATGTTAACTATAGCGACTCCCGGTGTAATGCCAGGGATGCACCGGTTGCTGCTTTTGATTACTATATGAAAAAGTCGGTGAACCTGTATCTTGGTCCTGTCTGCGACTATTCATTGGCTCCAGTTGCCAGGTATGCTCCTTATTGGAAGCTACCAGTTATTAGTCCAGGTGGCTTTGCACACAATTTCGGCGAAACAAAGTCAGATGTATCAAAAAACACAGAAGGTTTCTTCACTTTGACACGGATAGGCATGACCTTTAACTCTATGGCTCTGAGTATAATACAAACGATTAAGCATTTCGGTTGGAATAAAGTGCAACTGACATACGACAGTGACGGCCATAGCGAAGTGTCGCCAAAATTTTGCTATCTAGCCGGAAGTGCATTAATACAATACATAAAGGAATTAGCGGCCGATGAAGAATTAGGACATAAATTTGCCTTTCATACTGATCAAACAGAGACAGAGAATGTGTTAAGGGACGAGGTTGGTGTAGACCATGCCGGTAAGTGTTATCTGCTTAATATGTCAATTAAAAAGGCATCATTCATATGACATGGGATGACCAGTATGAGTCAAGGTGTTATTTTATTCCGCCGTTCTTTTTTCCTACATGATCTTGTATTTTGGCAACAAAAAATTAAATGTGATAAGATGACCCATTAGTACTCTTTTACACGAGAAATAAACATAATGATGTGATACACAATATAAACCCAAACAAACAATTGTTACATTAAATGTATTTTGTTCACACATTCAAACAATAATGTGTTTGTTGTTTTACGTTCGCAATGTCAAGATGTAATTAACAATTCAATTTACTGGTCCTTGCAATCAAATATATGACATAAATATAATAATTGTTATTGTGAATATAACCTTTTGGGACAGTTTATGTCATAATTATAGTTACTGATTGACAATGTATTTGATAATTAAACTGCTGGGATTGTTCATTAATTTTCACCCTTAATCGTTCATATATTACTTGTTTATATTTCCCTTTTAGAAATTATAACAGAGAGCTTAAGCATAAATTTATTAAATATTAAGTGCTTTGAGGATAATTATTGCATAAGGTCCATTGTTTTTTATTCAAATCAATTTCATTCCAATCGATCAAAATTATTCATTGACTTTTTATTTTTTAATGCAGCTCAAATGCGCTTTGATTTAGTCTTAGAACTCAAATCACGGCAAAATCAACTGCATGTTTTGTTCGAATGCTGTGCTTTGTGTATTTATCAAATCCAAATGAATTGTTGTCCACTCGATCAGTTCTGTAACGGCTGTACATAAATGTTATTGGATGAGAAGCGTATCATTACTTTGTGAAATTTCTTTCCGTCAAGAGCTCAGCTCAAGTAAAATTCATAAACACATTATAACAATCCGTCAACGTTATGCTACTTCATTTGTGAAAAAAGTTCTCTGCGATTTTTATTCAGTATCACTTGGATAAAAACAATCTTTGGTTTTGGTGTAATGGATTATTATAATATACTAAAAGAACGTTCGATGTTTTAAAATATTTTGTGATTTATTTTTAAAAAAATTTGAAGCTCTTGTCAATGAATGAATAAATTAAACCGCCCGTTTTCAAACGGAGTAACATCTGTGAAGTGTTTGAAGTGTGCTTAATTGTGTTTTACGTTACCATTGCTACGAAATGTGTTTACAAAAATGAAATTCTAAATAAATTAGTTCGCTATAAAATACGATCGCAATAGTACAGTAGAACTTCGGTAAGTCGAAGTTGAAGGGACTTGCGTAAAAACTTCGACACATCGGGACTTCGACTCATGAATCGCACTCAATTCCATGACAAAATTTCGACCCGTGACTAGTCCCTAACGAAACCTATTTCATGTTTTTTCCATCATTAATCTGATAATAACATTTTACAATGATAAATATAGCATGTTAAATAAATTTGTTTCACGGCTAATTATTTGGACTACCCGTTGACAAAAGAGTTACAAAAGGCGTAACAATACGAAAGGGCGATAACTTAACCAACTTATAGTATATATTTCGCGTGTTATTCTCACGCGGCACCGGGTCAAAAATGTAAACAAATGAAAGTAGTTCTTACTGTTTACTTTCAAATACCACTACGAAAATTAAAATAGTAACGATTAAAGCATTTTATCACACATGTTATCGCAAACAAAGGCTGTTTGAACACACGGCTGTGTAATTAACACCCGACACACAAGTTGATTGGAAATCGTCTTCGCAGCCAGATAAGGTGTGAAAAATGTCTCGAGATCGACGGTTTTAAAAAAATCGAACAACTTCGACTTACTTGTGGTAAATTGCACTAGATTTACTTAACACGGCCCACGAAAAAACTTCGACACATCGAAAAATTCGACACATAAAATCTCGACTCATAAGTAGGTTTTTATAAGGAATATATAGGGGGGAAAAGTCGGGACTTTAATTTTTCTTCGACACATCGAGAAAATCGACTAATCGAAGTTCGACTCATAGAAGTTCTACTGTATATAGAAAAGAAAATTGACAATTTGAATTGGACATTTATACAGTTGGATGCTATTTAAATAGGTAAATTATGTCTAAATGTATGATAATAATTATAACGACTTTATAGTGAAAAATGAAATTCATTGAGCTTTGTTGATCAAATATATACAAAATAATAATGATAATAAAGTTTGTCAAAGCTTGTCAGCATGTGATCACAGTCAAAAATACTGGGATCATCTTCGCGTCTTCTTAGAACTACATGTATATGTAATTTTTTAACGTGTGAAATGATTTGATTGCGATAATATTAATATACCAAGGGGATAAAAGTACTTATGGGGGTGATTGCCAAACTCATCTTCTAGAGTACAGTTATTAGTAAAACATATTTCGTGTACATTTCGGTTGACATTTAAGGTTAGCATTGCTTTTGTTAATAGATTTTCTGGTAGCACTTTCACTATCATTTCACGTCTAGGTGGCGTTACGTAATTAACATGTCTGGGTAGCATTTTAACTTTTTATGTCTACGCAGTATTTTTATTATAAAAGTAGACTTTAAATTATATGTACATGTGTAGGTGGTATTTAAACAATTGTCTGGTCTATATGACACGTTATCTTTTATTGTTCATGACTACTTGGATTTTAACTTTTATTTTCATCTGTTGGTAGCAATTTATTCTTTCCTTTCCACGTCTTTCATGTCTAGTGGGTATATTTTCTTTTGTTTTAACATTTATTGTCATGTGGCACTTTAAAGTTATTATCAATCACATCAAGGTAGCATTTTAACGTGGGCTTTAAACAGTTTCTGTTTGTTTTAAACATTGAATTAGTTACTTAGTATTTTCTTTCTTTTATACCCTCTTCAGAACGGTAATGAATATGTAATCATGCTAGTTTACTGGTTCGTAAAATTGGCCACAACATCAAGCATATACGTGTACCTTGAAACCTTTATAAAAATCATTAAATATATTACACCTGTATTTAATTGCTTTTAAGATTAGTTTATGCGACACTGCAAATTCATTATTTTTCGTTTTGCACTATTTTTCGTGGTTTTCGTGGATATCTCCATCCACGAATTTAAGATGCAACAAAACTTTCAAGTAGTCTGCTGTTAGATTAGTTTGCATCACATTATTTACATTTTTATTTTGAAAAAGTAGAGAAAGTCCACGAATTATTTGCATCACAATATTTACATTTTACCTTTTGAAATAATAGAAAGTCCACGAATTTAAGAACCACGATCATGCTCTTTGTGACAAAACCTTGAAATTTCATGCCCGGGAAATTAAGTGAATTCACAGCAATTGAAGGTGTTATATTTAAAAATTCCACATTTACTGTAATTCCAAATCAGTGCGATGACCTTTTGTATACATATATTCAAGCTAACAATTCGGCAAAAATATAGCTATTATTACTATCATTTATTAGGATAATTATATACATTTAACCATTATTAACACACAACTTTTAGAGCTAAATATCACAGAAATAGCAAGCTATGATACTTTGTTTCTGACAATATAATGATTTTCTAGATGAGGTTCAATTACTGGTAACAACCAAATAACGTTAATAGACTCCATAGCTTTCATTTTCTCGACCAACAGAATGAGTCGGTTTGTTTTATGAGTTCTAGAAAATGAAAACTTTGTTTATGCAAATGCACATTTCTATATGAGCTAATTTTTGCGAACTTCATTAATTTATCAATGCCTTGAATTTAATGTTTAACTGATTGACTTGCATAACCACCTTTGCAAATAAATGAATAATAAGGGTAAACATAGATCAATAGCTAATTGTAGTAAGTTATAATACCAAACTCTATCATTATCATAATACTACAATAAAACGTCCTCGAAAAAGAAACGCTTTTATATTTGACTTTTATAAGTACTTAAATTAGGTTAAACAAATTGTTTTACTCTTGTAAGTAAACAGTTACAAGTTATCTGCAAAAGTTGGTATTAAATTACCTCAGTGAAAGATTTTGGGTTTCATTGAGGATGTAATAAATGATTACATATGAGCAGGCACCATATGCTTAGAGGGACAAAGTAACAAAAGGAACAAGTTTGCAAACAAGGAAACTGATGTATAAACATTTTTTTCTTGGAAGCCTTTCATTTAGTAAAAGGATAGAAACCGTAGAATTCCTTACTATCTTACTGACAGCAAATGTAACTTCTCGAAATAATATAAAGGGTAAATACACAAATAACGAATGCATTCTTTGGAATATTTGAAGAGAAAATGGCAATTTTAAGTCATTTTTAAAATGTAAAACTAATAAATCTGAAGTGACATGAATTTGTTATGCAGGTGCGTCTAAGTGTAAATGTGGAGTAAAAACCCTTTTAGATCTGTGCAACTTTCGCTAGTGGCACACGTTATGTATTTTCTCGCATACTCCGTAAGTTTTAACCTTGCCGGAAATTACATCTGTCATGGGGTTGAGGGTTGGCGATTAGTCATGTGCTTTAAAATGAGGTCATTTTAGCGCAGTTTATGAATCAACTGGATTAAATGACGTCATGTCGGCATATTTGGGTCATGTCTTCAAACCGATAAATCTTCTCATCGTGAACCATTTACTTAAAATAGCAACACTTATGAATGAAATTTATATACGTATTTGTGATAAATAATAATGCTTTATTTTTTATGGATTCGAATACTAATGAACAATTTTTCTTATTATACTAGTAAAAACGTTATTGATAATTAAATTTTGTAACAATTCTGAGGACATACGGTTTAATTTTTGTTTGAAGTAACAATTGTATGTCCTCGGCAAAAAGCTATATTTTATTCAACATTGTAAAATTTAGATTTTAATGTTGTTGTTTTTTATAATTATTATTATTATTATTATTATTATTATTATTATTATTATTATTATTGTTAAGGCTTTATAAAACATTTATATTTAATACGGAAATATAAATTATTTATAGGAATCAATAAACACAACCGTGATGTAACCCT